GAAGCTTTGCGTCTGCACCCTGAGCCGGCGCCCTGTGTTTCGCCAGTGCCTCTTGGGAGAAAGAAGCAAGGAGCAGTGTGCTCCGCGGTGCCCCTTCCGTATGCCATGCGAGCCAGGCGCCTGGACATCGGTCGTCTGGGGGAACTAATTAGCGGAGTGGAAGACAAAAGCATCGTGTCTGCGTCCTGAGGTCACCCCAGGAGCAGCTGGGCTTCCCTAACCAAGGGAGAATACTAAATATCTCTTTAATAGAACCTCGGCTCCCTCCCTGGGGCGGCCCATCCTGGTCTAAGCCTCTGGGCAGACAGCTCTGTGGGCTGCCGTCCTGCTGCCCCTGTGTCTTCTGTCTCCCAGGCAATTGAACGGTTTCATCAGCTGCGCCTTGATTCGTGACGACCTCTTCCTCTTCTCATTGACTTTCTTGAAGTGGGAGGCTAAATATAGGCCCAGGCGCTGCTGTCTAACCAGGTCTGTCCCTGCACAGGGACCCGTTATCGCCACCAGCCAGACATAGGAGGAGCTGGGGGGGGGGGAGATGGAGGCTGGGTGGAGCTAAAGACAAAGCACGTTCTCCAAGGGTTCCCACGTGGAGAAAAGTCAGCGGCTGAGGGCAGGCAGAGCGTCCTAACGAGGACACAGGTGCAGCCTCGAGGGAATTAGAGAAGTGAAACAGGTGCGCGGTGCAGCTGGAGGGAAGAGTGGAAGCGTGGCTGCGGCTGTGAGGGCCAGCAACCGCAGTGATGTATTTACACAAGATAAGCGGCACCCTGCGACTCCAGGGCTGAGCACTCTAGAGCCTGCAGACCCAGGCGAAGATGGAAATAGATAAGGGCTCTGTGGGCGGAAGACGGCCTCAGTGGGAGATCCAAGCGGGAGCTGTGCCTCCCTGCTGCGTGTGACTGGCTGGTTAGGACATGGACCTAGCTTTGCTAGATTTTTCATTTTCCCCAAGAAGGTAGTGATCTGTGCGTTGGGATGAACACGCCCATGTTTCATTGGACTATTCCGAATCCGCTTCTGCACTTACCCCCTGGACTCAAGCACTCCTGGCCACTTCGCTCTCACTTCCTCTGCGCTGACCCCCTTCCCTAGCGGAGTCTCAGAGGCTGCCCTAGCGCAAGCGATGAACACACTCTGCAGGCCTGTACAGGGGAGGGAGTCGCCGTCCTCCCTTCAGAACACGGAGGCACTCTGACGCAGGGGCAGTGTGGACCCAGACGCAGACTTCCGCGTGCTGAGCAGGCCAGGATGAGCAGGCGGGCGGGCTGCTCCTGGGGTAGGCTCACACAGTCTCCTATCGGCTGTGTTAGGAGATTTGGCACTCTGGACACAGGTTAATACCTGATGTTACAAGCTCGCGGCCGGCACCGGGCTGCTCGGGAGGTGTCCCAGTGTGCTTCACATGGCCACACTCAGAGGTGTCGGACTTCACAGCGCGCTCTGGCAGCGTCGCCATCTGGGGTGCTGACGCTCTGCCAGGCCTGCTCTAAACCTGGCACGTAAAAGAGCGTGGGAGTCGGTGATTGAACAGGTCCGTAGCTCTGCCTTTCAGGAGCTATTGTTTGATAGGAGATAAAATGTGACTGCACACAATTCAAAGTAGAGAGCAATTTATCGGAAACACAGGTTGTATACTGCGGTGCTAGCGGAGCACCAAGGCGGCAGTCTAGAACTTGAAATACTTTTCTGCTTATATGAATGACATGAAGCCAGGAGCAAGCACCTGTAGAAAGAAGGGCCGGAAGTAGTAATCTTAGTAATGAATATTGAGTACTAGACACGGTGTACCTCTGTGTACCACTGTATACCTCTTATCAGCTTTTCTAATCACTTTAATAATAAATACTAACTTTCAGTATCAAATAGCTACAGAAAATGATGTTTAGAGACGAAGTGTTAGGTATCCAGCAGCTGAGTTTCAGGACAGGAGGTAGAACTTGAATTCAGGGTTGTTTGAAAGTAGAGATTAAAATTAGCTCTAAAAGTTTTCTGAAAAAAAAAAAGAACAGGACAATAATTTTCCCTGAAGAAAGGTAGCTTATCTGGTTTCAGTTAGTTCCCATGGATATTACTTTTAATAGCAGTTTATGATGCAACCTAAGCTTTCATCTTGGTTATGAAAATTGATTCTGTATCTCTTCTAAAATATTATAGTGTCATGAAGATATAGGTAAAAGATAAGCCCGTAAGCCCTAATAACTATACTATAGTATCGTAAAAGAAATCCAGAACTGGCAAAAATTATGGAACTTTGAAATTAGTATTTTATTTTTAAATTAATAGTGATCCTCCTGTCTGAGCCTCCCCAGTGCTGGGTTTACAGGTGTGCGCCACCACAACCGAGTGGCCATGCGGTTCCAGGGCCAGCAGGGCATGTGGTACCAGGGTTGAACTCGGGTCCTTCTCCTTGTGAAGGTATTTCCCCATCCCCAAATTGGTATTTCAAATAATCTAGTGGCATATGTTACTGATGAAATGATAAATATCAAGCATGACTGTCAAGCTTTATTTAGGGTTACCCAATATGTTCTTTTTCTTGGGAATTACTAATTGACCAATAGATCAAACATATAAAATATAAAGTATACTACGTTTAAAATTGTTCTCCAGATAATATCTAGAGTTACAGATTTTTATATTTTCGTTTGAGAATGTTTGTTCAGAATGAAATCATTGATTTCTACATAGAAAAGTTTGAGTGGAGTACTGGAGGGTTCAGAGCACAGTCACCTGGCGCCGTGGTCCTGGGGTCTGTCGAGGCAGGGTCTCGTGGCAGAGTGTGTGGTAAGCCACAGGTGTCCACCCCGTGGCCAGGAGGCAGAGGAGGGATGTGGAGAAGTGGGATCCTGTGATCTCGTGGGCATGCATGCTTCCACCTGCCTAAGAACTCATGCGGGCCGCACCTCCTAAAGTTTCCTCCTCCTTTCAGTAGGAATATTCTCAGGATGGAGTTTTAACACCTGGGCCCTAGAGACCATTTAGGATCCAAACTATAGCAAAGGGTTTGGACAATAAAAGAGTCTATCAGTTCATATGAAAGGAGGTTCAAAGTTATGGCCCCTTTGAGATCCATAGCTTCAGGACCTAAGCCTTGTCATCCCTGGTTTGTGTTCAGCTTTATTCCAGAGCTATTTCATCCCCATATGCATTCAAGATAGACCCAACGGGGGCTGTGAGATAGCTCAGTGGACTAAGCACCTGCTTAGACAAGCTCAGGGACTGGAGTTCGATCCCCAACACCGCATGCCGCACTGACCTTACCCTAGGCGTGCTGAGCCAGCCACTGAGACCGGAGGTGGTAGTACACGCCTGCAGTCCCAGTGCTGGGGAGACTGAAAACAGTGAGTCCAAGCTGCACAGTGAGACCCTGTGCCCAAATACATTAAAAAATAAAATAAAAAAAAGATAGCCCCAACAATTTCAAGAAGACATATCTCACCATGACTGTCCAATGAAGAAAAGTGGCCACCTTGCCCTGGGTTCTCAGGATGAATATACCTTTCTCAACAGACTTGTACCCTCAGTCCAGGAAATAGATTTTCTTTCTATACCCACCAGTGTTCCAAAAGTGATCGCTGGCAAAAAGAATGGACTGCTGTACTGACTCAGTGTATCAGATTCACCCCCTTGCATGGGAGTTTGACCCAGGTTCCCCTAAAAGTGCATAACGTTACTCAGAGGGGAGATATAGAATGGAACTGGGCAGGGTTTTTTTAGATGGAAGAAGGAAGAATGGTTACCTGGGAGCCAGCCCATAATGGTTTTCATAGACCAATGTTCAGTATAGCAGAGAAAGATGCGAGGATGGAGAATAAAGAATCTGCCATTTTCAAGGTTGGCGTTTTGGTTTCTAGATGGTCCCTTTGCTAGTCAGCTTTGTATAAATGTGGTAAGTACCTGAGATACAGCTCAAAAGAGGGGGTAGCTTTGGCCCCGTTTGGGGGGTTCTGATGTGTGGCTGGTAGTGGCTCATGGCAAGAATTCATGTCATGGGGTAAGCATACGGCAGAGCTGCTGCTTGGCTCCAGGGGCCAGGAAGCACAGGAGAACTGGGAAGAGAGAGACCAATGTCCCATACTGCCCCTGGTTACCCAAGACTTCCAGGAGGTCCCCCATCTTCCTGCACCTTCCAATAGTACCCAGTTGAAGACCCCGCCTTTAAGATCTGGCCATTTAGGATATACACTGGAGTGGTTTCCACCTCCTGGGCTGATTCTCCTCCTCATTAAAGCATCACAGAAATTCACCCTGGAAGGGGCCACTGTGAGCTTAGATTGTTAAATGTCACACAATGAATTGAAGACATTGAAGACTGAAGTCAGGGAGGGATTTCCTGGCAGTCAGCGCAGGGTGTTCCTTTCAACATTTGCTCTGGAGAGTTGGAAACTGTTGGTCCTGCTTTCCAACTCATGGCAGGCACTGGCCACTTCTGTAATTAACGACTCCTTAGAATGCATTTGTTTGGTTTGCTCGGCCAGCCAGAAACCCAGCAGAGTCTGCTCGGAAAAGCCTGCTGGGCTCCTTGTTCTCTGCTTTGATATCGTGCGCCTTGTTACAAGCAAATTTCTTATATTCACCATCTTTTTGTTGCTTCTTCATCTTCACCTTCTCCTGCTTTCTCCACTGTCAGCTTCTTATTGTTAAAGACTCTGGGGTCACTTTCCTTTGTCCCTTTTTTCCCCATCAGATCCTAACTGCTAGTGACTCAGACTGTTTTTCCAGCATTCTTCCTACAGCCTTCCCAGTTCTGGCTTTGACCCATACCTTATTGTTGTGGGTCCCCAAATTAGATTCTGAGATTATTTTGGTAACTACTGCCTTGGGTGAGATTCAAACTAATAATTAGAGGGTTGAGATAACTTTGACTACAAGTTTCCTCCTGTTTTTACATGCCAAGAAGTTGCTACTTGTGCCTGTCCTACACAAAGCGTGTGAGAGTACTGGATGGTCTGCTGCTAGGCTGAGTGCTTGCGATTGACTTTGTTTTTCTTCACTCCTAGGACAAAATGTTGAGCAGTATCAGAAGCTTCTTATGGCTGTGCTCAGCCTTCATAGTAACCCAGGCCCAGCATAACGGTGAGTGTGGAAACCAGTTTCTTTTTGCTTGCTGATGTACCAGGCTGGGAGCTCGGGGACGGAGAAGCAGCCGCGGTCCTCTAGAGCCATGGACTGACATTTTCTCAGCTACTCAGTGAGGCAAATTCTTAGTTAAAATATTAGAAGGCTGAAAACAGTGGGTTTAAACCAATCAACAGAAAACAGTGAACAGAGCACTGGGGTTCCAAGTGCAGTTGCAGTCACATCCAGGGTCCCTTTAACTCATGGCATGGGGGGTGTTTAAACATTCTAGCTTTTCCATTATTGCTTCCCCAAGACTTTTCTTTAATTCTAAAAAGAAAGATGATTAAACAGTTAGGAAGTTTTTTTTTTTTTTTTTTTAAATGTATTTAGTACAGGGTCTTACTACACAGATTGGACGCCTAGTGATCCTCCTATTGTCAAAATCCCAAATCCGGGATTACAACGTGCACCAGCATACCCAGTCTCAATCACTGTCTCAGTGTGCCCCACGGGTAGGGCCAGAAGATATGCCCAGGATTGAACCCTGGTCCCTGCATCTGCCTACGCAGGCGCTTTAATCTGCTGAGCTATCTGGCCGGCCCACACTTAGGAAGTTGTGAAGAGTCAAGAATATACAAAATAAGTTGACAGCAAGAATCTGGACTTACCTCTGCACTTTTCTTTGTTTAAAAGTAGCTTGCAAATACATGTGCAGTGTTTTTCTTAGCTTTAAGAGAAGCTAGAAGTTGCCAGGCAAGGTGGTGCATACCTGTACTCTCAGCACTTGGGAGGGTAACGCCGGGTGATTGCTCTGAGGCCCAGCAAGCCTCAAGGCCAGCCTGGGATATGTAGTGAGCGCAAGGACAGCCTGAACTATAGAGGGAGACCCTGTCTGGAAAAAAAAAAAAAGTAAGAAAACCCAGGAGTGATGCTTCTCAAATTCCCAACTCATCATTTAGTGCGAAAAGGCACACTCAGCCATCCGAAGGAAGGAGTGCTGAGCTGCACTGCGTGCGTCTGCCTCGAGTTCGTCCCAGCCCACCTTTTCTTCCTCACTCCTGCACCAAGCTATGTGAGCTAACACACATACACAGGCTGTTACCTTTCCTGGTTTCTCCTTTTGTTTCCTTTCACTTGCGGCTCCTCTCCTCTCCTGTTTTGTTGTGAGGTCAACATCACTCCTTCTGGTCATTTCCACAGTCATTCATCTGCTTGTCTGTCCCCCATCCGTCCATCCATCCCCCGACTCACACACTCATTTGTCCCCAGTAACTCTCTGAGTTCTGTCTTGGAGCCAGGCATTCTGCTGTGTCCCGGGATCCTGGGCCGTCCATACACTGCCTCAGCTTTCACTGAACCTAGTCCCCATGTTATAGGAGGCAGGCAGCGAGCACAGGAACAATCTGGGTCCGGTCACCCCTGGTGAGAAGTAAGCAGAGTGATGTCACAGAGTGTGACTGGGCTGGGAGATACTGGTAAGAGAGGCAACATTTCAGCAGAAATGAGGATGACTCGGAGTGGCCAGTCTGCCTAGACCTGGCCCTTGGCTAGAGAGAGATGAGGGTCTCTGAGTGATAGGAAGTCACTGTGGCTGATACAGATGCCATCAAGAGGACACAGGAGGTGTGGGTGGGCGGCTAAGGAGCACCCACCTAATAACTCCTAGCACCTGCACAAGACTTAGGGCGAACAGGAGCTGTGCTGGACGCGCCCAGTTAACTCAGGGAAGCTGCCCCACCCAGAGTCCTACGGAGGGCGCAGGGTCGGAGGCGCTGAGCAAGCCGCAGAGCTGGACGAGGGCGCAGCCCTAGGCACGCATGCCCCTCGCTGCTCGTGCATGCCATGTCTGTGCAGGACGTAACCGGCCTCAGAAGAAGGCCAGATTTATTCCTAGGACTTTGGGAAACGCTGGCAAGTTTTGGTCCATGAAACATTCGAGTTGAGTTTCTAGCTCATGGGAGAGCTCTGCGCTGCTACCACGTACCCTTCCTCCCTGCGCTGTCCTCAGTACCACACCACGCTCCTGTTATCTCATGTTTTCTCCCTGAACAGTCCGGAAAAGGGCTGTCTCTCACCTTCGTGCAGCGCGGCTCATGAGCTGTGGCACGCTTCCTGGGTTTCTGACGGAAGGGGTGAACAAATGCCGCAGGGCTGGCCCCCCAGGCTCCTCGGCGGGCCTGCAGCCTGGTCCAGCCGCGCAGCTCTCAGGAGGTGAAAGTAAAGATGCAGGGAAGAAAGGGCAAGGTGGTCCAGAGAAAAGCAGTTTTCCAGAGCAGCATGGAAGGGGAGTGGGCTTGGGTGGCCAGTAATGGAAGGGACATCATAGAGGAAGATGCCGGCAGACATCTGTCCACCTAAGTGAAGACTTCGCACTTAAAGAAGGAACTCACGCGGTGAAATCCAAGTTGAGCCACATGGAATCCCTCCTTTATAGTGTTTCTAAAAGCATAGTAATAGCCAATCATACCCAGTAAATTTTACACATGACGCTCTGTTCTTTGTAAATTCACACTTAAGAAGTTGTAATTAATTTGAGGCTAATTAAAGAAGACTTATTTTTTCCTATGAAAGGCAAAAATTGAAAATATAAAATCTATATCAAAATATTTTTAAGTTCATAATGAGTTACATACCAGTAAATTGTTCAGTGGATACAAGTATAGGCTGTTGTCTTAAAATTTTTTTCTATTTATTCCTCGATGCCCAAGAGATCAGTGACCAGCATTCATGAGTACCTTGGCCCTGGCTTTATTTTAGCACATAAGGAGACCTTTGCCTTACTGACACTCTTACATTGGGTTATAAGCTGTCCCCATCATTGATTACTCAGCATTGATATAGCTCTTTTATTATCCCTCATGTAGTGAGATATGGAGCCAGGGACAGTCAGGAGTGAATGAATGAGAGGACAGCGATGTTCATCAAGGGAGTGATATGCTCCCGATGTCAATCTGACGTTTACTTGGCCAGGATCCGTGCATGTGTGAACCACTGACCTGAGCAGCTGCACTCTACGTCACCCTTGCCCTGCAGAATCTATTGACAGCATGAAGGGCGACTGATCATTCATTTCTAGAGCGCTCACTCTTACTGTTCTCTGAGGCCATAGACCATCTTGTGGGAACAGCGAACACTTTTGTTAGAATTCCTTTCATGACTTGCACTGTCAGAAGTCCAGAGAGCTTCCTGTAAGTAGCAGATTTAAAAAAAAAAAAAACATGCAAAGGTCCTACAGAGTATATGCTGAATTTTCTTCTTAAAATATTTAGATTTAGTGAGTTTAATGCTTGTGACCTCATGATTTAAGATCCAGGATTTAATAAAACAAAAGATTTGACCACACAGCTTTTTGTTAATCTTATTGGTAAGATTGGATTCTACAGGAATATATATTTATATCCGACCAAAGCTTTTAATTATAATAATAAACAGTCCCTTAGGAAATTGCCTTTTGACATCATTGTGAAAACATTTCATTACAGGATGGTGGTTAGGTAATGTACTGCATCTCAGAAACCTCCCTGTGGGATGGACTTAGGGGAATTTCATGTCTGTCTCACACACCTAGAATTCTGAAAATAATTTAGTAATAAATATCAAGCTATTGGAAGGCGATTATCAAAGGCAATTTTCTAAGGAGATGGTAAAGTCTTATGCTTTGTCCTAACTAAAGTTTATAGTAAATCTGTTTATTTTTCCATCAAGAAATCAGGGCTTTATTTGTGGTTAAGACTTTTCTTTGTAGTACCTAATTCTTCGGGAAGGAAGATGAGGTTTCCTAGAACCTATGATGACTATAAATTAGTTGACATTTTCAACTTCAGGATTCTCACCTCTACTTTTGTGTTGTCTATTTTTGATTTTTTTGAGACAGGGCTTCACTGTGGGTCAGACATGCACTCCTGTCACGTCTGTCCTAGTCAGCTTGGAGCCGGCGCTGCCTCTGGAACATCCTTAGTATAGATGGGATCCTTTTTGCCCCAAGGGTGAGCTTTAAATTACAGTTTGCTGTATCTTTGTAAGCCAAAGAAGATTGAAAATGGAGTATCACCTTGATTTTACAAAGTGTGAACGATTTCAGGAGCATTTTAAGCAGTAACTTGCTATGGTACATAGCACACCCCATTCTATTTTTATTTAATTTTGCATAGCATCTTATGCCTAGACAAGCATGACAGCAATGAACACTGTAATGTTGGAACAAATTAGTGATTTCTATCACATTACATAACACTTATTTTATATATACATACATATATATATCAAAAATATATTTTTTATGTATTTAGTACAGGATCTACGAGGTCTCACTATACAGATTGGACCTGTAGTGATCGTTCCTGTTTTTCAGCCTCCCAAGCACTGGGATTGCAGGCACGCGCCAGGGGTGGAGGGTGAGGGAGTGGGGTGGCGGGGTAGGGGGATGTGTCCCTTTCCATGCAGTGCTGTTAGGCTGTGGAAAGTGTATTCTCCGTAATTAAACGTTTAAGGGCTTACACAGTAAAGAAATATTTTCGGAGGGTTAGGGGACCCAAAGCCAGCCTCCTCCCCAGAATGCAATAAGAGAAAGTGCCTCATAGCAGTGACCCCAGCGGGTTCCTTGCAGTCTGGCAGGCCTGTGGCCCAAGGGGCCCTTCAGATGTTAGGTTCCTGGGTCCAGGCCCCTTAAGCAGATTTTTGTTTTTGTTTTAAATTCTCACTGTTCTACTGGATTCTCTGTTCATTTCCTCGAAGGTAACGTAGCAATTATCTTCACCAGCATTTTCTGTGGTGGACCTGTGAGCAGGATTTCCCTGTCCAAGTGCTGTCTTGAGCGGGTACAGGCTGTCACACCCGCGGACCTGGCGCACCCTGCTGCTAACCTGGGCCCCTTGGGGTCTTTCTTTCCTTCCCTTCTGCTTTCCTTTCCTCCCTCTTGGGTGTCACCCAGTCCCTGTGCCAGGCTGCACCTCTGAGCTTACCCTACCCCCCCAGGGGGCTCACCCTAGCCGGTTCTCCCTCCTTTTGCTCACCCTTTTTCCTGTTAAATATTAAGCTGCCCGTTTGAAATGAGTTGCATGCTGGTGTCTACAGGGGTACAGTATTTCCGGCAGTGCATGGAGCCCGCCCAGACCACGCATCCGGCCCGCGGTGTGGACTGGACTTGGCGTGGAGGTGGCCGAGGACATGGCCAAGGCCGGACTGCCCACGTAGCTGGCCGCCCCTGTAACTACCTTTCTCTCACAGGCCCCATGGGGAGCGGTGTGGCGTTGGCGGCCATGCGGGGCTCACTGGCCGGGACCGTGGTGCTGCCCTGCCGCTTCCCTGAGCCGCCCACGCCGCGGCCAGTGGCTCACGCCGGCGAGACCCTGCGCGTCAAGTGGTCGAAGATCGAGGCGGACCGCAGCGGACGGGACCTGCGCGAGACAACGGTGCTGGTGGCGCAGGACGGGCACGTGAAGGTGGGGCCGGACTTCCAGGGCCGCGTGTCGGTGCCCACGGACCCCGCGGCGGCGGGCGACGCGTCCCTGAGCCTGGGAAACCTGCGTGCCAGCGACGCGGGCCGGTACCGCTGTGACCTGCTGCTGGGCGTGGAGGCGGCGCAGGCAGCCGTGGAGCTGTCGGTGGACGGTGAGGACCCGGGAGGGGGGCAGCCCGTGGGTGCGGGGCGCGGCTTAGGCTGGGGCGTGGCCTGGGTGCAGGGCGTGGACACACAGGGTGGACAGGCCGGGCTCCCCGCTGCAGCTGCGCGGTGGTACAGGCTTTGTTGCCCACAGGGCCACCTGAGTGCAGCACAGTGACGTTTGGGTCCTGTCACATCAAGTTAGGACACCTCAACAGGCATAGGCGCTGCTGTCTGCGCCTCTCCAAATCCCCCCTTGCTTCCTCTTGGCTTCTTACCACTTCAATTTTTATTTTGTCAGTCCATGTGTGCAGTAACTGATTACGTTCCTAGGGGGGTGTTGGCGCCCATGTTTATAATTCTCTTTTTTTTTTTTTCTTTTCATCTCTTTTCTCCTTTCCTCCATCTCTTGCTCATCTTCCTATTTGCAAAAGATCTGACTTCCTGTTTCCTGTCATCTTTTATGTTTGTTTTTTACGTTGTACTTTGGATTTCTCATATAAGAAAAACTGCAGCTTAAGTTTGTGTGGCTGATTTATTGCACGTAACAGTATGCACACCCACTTCCTGCACACGGCTGGAGTTCATCCCTCTTTAGAACAGAGTAGTACTCCGTTATGTGTAAATACCGCACTTTCTTTTTCCATTCATATGTTTGTGGGCTGCATCCATGAGATTTTCTGGAATCTTATTTTCATGTTTTTAGTAGTACCATCATGGCTGCCCAATCCACTCGACCACTTTGACATTTTGTGATCATTTTCACTTTGGGAAAGAGCCCAAAGTCACAGGGCGCCAGGTCTGGTGAATACAGGCTGGAGGAGGACAGCCCCGTCGGTGGGCGCGACCTTTCTGGGTGTGGCCGGGGTAGCGCTTTCGAGGTGCTGTAATCGTATCCGGTAAAGATGCTCGGGGGTGAGGAGTCTAAGCTCGGCATAAAGTGTCTCGGGCGAGTGTGTTTGGAGCCAGGAGGAGGCATTTTGAGGGAGATTCCTGCCGAAGAATCTTTTACAGTAGGAACATCTCTTAAAAACTTAAACATTCAGTGACTTTTTCACTTATAACTCTTCCTGGAATTACTGAATACCTCAAAACTTATTAGTTCAGTCATCATTACTTCAGTACTGAGATTTATTAATTAATCTGCAAGACTCTACATGATGATGTACATTTCACTTTAATTTTACATATGTGTCTGCACGTGTGTATATGAATAGAAACATACAAATACACACACACCCAATCTTCCTCCCTTGCATTCTAGTAGTGATTATTACAGTTTTTGAGTTTTTTATGTAAATTTTATCTTAACTTGTACCAACCCATATGACTCTAAGTAAGTGCCATGTTGCGTACCACAGTGTCCTGAAGAACGCCAGGACCCAACACATACTGAAGTTGGTTCAAAGCAAAAGCTCAGTTAAGAAATTCCAAGATTAATACAGCAGTTGGTATCCATTGAGTCTTGCACTGAGATGTTTTAGTTTCCCCCTTTTCAGTGGTGGTTTATGTCACTTGAATTTCAGTTGGGAGACAAAGCAAAGAAAAATTGCTTTAATTGGGCCCAGCCATAATGCCACAGCTCTTGGAAGCCGAATGCCTTGGCAAGTTATTAAGCAGAATTCTAAACCCAGACATGATGGAACAGATTTCCTTACAACCCTCCATTTCACTATAAAATATTTACCTCTCAGAAATATATACAAAGGATTTTATTGAAACTCTTTCTTGTTTAGCCAAAAGGAAATACTCTGAATTTCAGATACAGCAAAGTAATTTACTGGGCATCTTTTTATGCTCCAATACTATTGTTTCCCTCTATCTAGTTTTATGCTGTCCAGGATCTACTACATTTCCTGGGTTCTCCTAACTTTATCAGCATTCCCTTTAGCTACCTAAGATTCTCTTTTAAAAGTCCCCAAAGGAGTTTGACAATTCTACAAATTTTCATCATTAAAGAATTAGCAATGGGATTGCCCTTACCCCTCTGAAACAATGCAAATTCTCCACTTAATCTCCTTAGCCGCATGGGGGCTTCAGATTATTTCAACCATTGCAGATACTTAGCCAGAGTGATGTCACCTGCCTTGCTCTGGATGCCCCCTGGCCTCTCAGTAACAGTCTTCAGTGCTCAGGAGAGCTTTCTAATTGCCAAGAAGAGTATTTGGTGCTTTGATCAACACTCAACTGATCGAAAAGCAAGGAGATTCTTGCATGAGCCTTACAATCAACGTAAGCTGTCTCTCATACTTAGCAGATGGCCTCACACACACTCCCTGGCAGTGTGAAGATCTGTGGAGGTAGAAACTGGCACTTGGTAATTGTTTTAACTCGTAAGAGGTCAGAACAGGACAAATGGATGTGAGTTGCCAGGGTGTGTGCTTGGTGGCCATGCAGGGCTTCTTCAGTTGACAGGGACTGCAGGTGATGATCCTGGAGATGCTCTCTGCCCCCACTGGCCCACACCTGTCTTGGTAGAAAAAGACAATCAAGAGGGCTGTGCAGAGGACAGGCGGACAGCTGGAAGTCAAGCTGGGAGGACAGACTGCTGGAAATCCCCGGAAATTATTAGAATAAAAAGGAGGAGAGTAACACATTATCTTAGACACCAGAATTCTCTCCAGATGACAGAAATAACAACAGAAGTTCTTTTAAGTGATATGCTTCAATACAATTTCATCCAAATGGCCCGGTTGCCTTAATTGCCATTTTCTGGCCATTTCTGTGGCATATTAATTAGACTGACTTTGATGTCTCATGGAATGAGTCATGATACTTACTGCAGTTAGAAGTGGAATCCTTTTGCTCAAATGCGAAGAGAAGCCAGGTCCTGAAGCTCCATCTTATTCTTTCTTCCCTGGTTGGACAATCCTTGGCCCTGGAGCGCAGCTCAGAACCTGGAGCTTAACCAGATGCTAAAATGCAGCAGTGTGGAGTCTTCTGCAAGATCCGGGACCTTTTGCTCCTGCTCGAAAGGGTGGAGAGTTTTATTTCTGATCTTCTTTGGCTTAAAAAGGAGACATTTCATCTGCCCTGGCAGGGACCCTAATTTATGTTAGTTGTACCGCAAAAAAGATAAACATTTGGGTAATACCTGGATCACTACCCAACATTCTATCCTTTACCTAATTGAATCTTTAGATCAATCAAACAAGCGGTAATTTTTATGTCTACCTTATGTGTCAGGAAATTAAGCTCGCAGAGCTTGACTGGGAACAAGTCAGTGCTGGAGAAGAGCTTTTCTGTAACGTACAGGCTGTGAGCCTCCCACCTGGGGTTCTGCTCTGAAAGTCTCCAGTATTTGGTTGGGGAAGCGGCCTTACTACACACTTCGAGGGATAGATCACTAGTTCATGCTCTTCTTTGAGCTGGTCCTGCCTAAAATGTTCAGGAAGGAGGTGCTGGCCTTGTGGCTCCCTTAACCCATTGTATTTTCAGCAGAACCTGCTCCATTTAGATGCTCAGTGTCCCCGATGGAGCCCGAGGACTGCTTGTAATTAGGATGGTAATCTGGCACTAGGGACTTAGTGGCTTCAGTCTCTCTTGAGGTGAGAGTGTGATAACATAAAATACCCATGGAGCAGAGTGGGATACCTTGGTGAAAGGGGTTTAGGGAGCTCCACAAGTGAACACGACTGTTATATAATAAAGTGATTAGGATATTATCATTACTATTGCCAGTTCATTTGGTATTCTTCTCTAATGAGAAGTCTTGCACAGTCCAGGGGAAATTGATACACTTGTAATTGTTTGCTCTTGTGTTTGCAGGGGTTGTGTTTCACTACAGGGCATCCACCAGCAGGTACACGCTCAACTTCGAGGCTGCGCAAAAGGCTTGTGTGGACATTGGGGCTGTCATAGCAACCCCAGAGCAGCTCTTTGCTGCCTATGAAGATGGCTTTGAGCAGTGTGATGCTGGCTGGCTGTCTGATCAGACTGTTAGGTGAGATCCCCGGGCTTCACGTGCTGGGACTGATCACTTGGGAATGAGAAGGAAGTGGCACCTACTAATCCTTTCATGTTCCCAGGTACCCAATCCGAGTTCCCCGAGAAGGCTGCTTTGGGGATATGATGGGGAAGGAAGGAGTCAGAACCTATGGATTCCGTTCTCCTCTGGAAACTTACGACGTGTACTGTTACGTGGATCATCTGGATGGTGAGATGTCTAAGTGTTTCTCTCTCTTTGCCAGAACTGGGAACACTGGGAAAGTGTGTGGGGATCTGTTTGGGTCAACAGAGGAGCACTTAGTTGGGGTCACTGTATGGTGTTCTGGGAAGAGAAGCTTAACGTAGAAAATGGAAGAGGGGCATGCAAGTGACAGGACAGGTAGGAGAAGCCCTGCATAGGCAGGTCTCCCACAGGTGTGCTGCTCTTTTTCCATATAAAAACTGTGGTGACAAACCACTATGAATCCAAGTGCAGAGAAACCCTGAAACTCAACTCCAGGCATCTGTGATAGGAGGTGATGCCAGTTTCTCACCAGTTTTCACCCTTGCGTTGGTATTCTGAGCATTTGTTCATTCGTTCGTTTATTCGTTCATTCACTCAACCATGCAGCACATGAAGCCAATCCACCTATTACAAATGCATTAAAAAATACTCGCTGTGTGATGGTACTCTGCCGGCGTGAAGGGGGCTGAGGGAAAGCCCACTCAAAGATGCTTAGAGCCTGATTGATTTGGCATCTTTCTTTCCCCTCTGCCTGAGTCAGAGGTTCTGAAGGCAAGTTTGGGTTCAGTAGTCCACGATCTAGCAGGCATCGTGTATGTGGAAGGCGCATGCAATACCAGTTTCTGTGACTTTAGGAATACATTTTTAGGTATCTTAGAAACCTCAGTGTGCATGTACTATTATGTTGAGTTATACTTTCAGTTGTGTCTGGGTACCCATATAAATAATCACCTCC